AGAGCACACGCCGGGGGGGGGGGGGAAAAAAAGCTCCCGCAAGGGCCGAGGGGTTGGTGAGAGCAGAGCATTGCCGTGAGCTCGTCCCCTTCCCCTCCGCACCGTTTCAGCGTCAAAAGCGGAGCCGCGAATCCATCCGGCTGCTCCAGACCCCAGTACGGCAAAGCCCCTCGGGAGCAGCGAGGAGGAGAGCGCGGAGGGTGGCAGCTTTGCCAAATTGCCCCGGGGAAGCTGGAGAGCTGGTAGATGAACATCGGATGCAAACGGAGGCTGCAAGCCGAGATAGCAGGCTGCCCCGTTATCTTTGCTTTAGCACCTTGGCTGGTGGGCTGGCAGCAGGTGAGGAATGATCTCAAACCGGCATAAGAGCGGATGTTGCGACGTAGAGAGACGGGAGAAATATGTTTTCCTGCTAAAATGAGCAGAGAGAGGCTCAGGACTGAATGGCCGTGAAGACTCAGCCTCTCCCCTCCGCGCTTCTCCCCCAGACAGACGACAATCGCTCTCCTCCTCCTACGGGCAGCGCTGGAGAACGGCTTCCATGCACTTGCCACGGTCCAGAGCCCTCTCGGGGAAAAACAGGACCTCAGCTTAATTAAAAAAAATAAATATCCTAGCAAGAACTTCCCCACGAAGCACATTGATGCCCCTCAAGAACTCACAGCGGCCTGCCCCCGCCGCCAGCGGGATGGCTCCACCACGCAGGTATTTCCAGCCAGCTTCGCTCGCAGGCACCAAACAGCTTCTGCGTGGCCCAGCTCATCCCAGCGAGGCCGAAGCATCGCCAACCCTGCCCCACCTCACCGGGCCAAGCCGAGACGGCGCCGGCCCACGTCGGAAGTGGAGGGAGAGGTTGGAAGCATCCGTCCCGGCAGCAGGCAGCTCCCCCCGCCCTCGCGTTGCTGATTTACACCCCATCAGGACACCCCGCTGCCACCAAGGAGGGAGCTGGAGCGACTCTTTCTGGCCGGCCAGGGGTTGGGACTAATTTGAGGGTTTGAAGAGGTTCAAACGCGAAGCACGACCCCATCGCACAGACGGGGGTAGGTCTCCACTCCCCGCCACCCAGCGGCAGCACTGCCGTCCAGCTGCCTTCTCTGCTCCTGCAGCGCAGGCAAAGGGCATCGGCCAAACCCAAGAGGTGACCAAGGACCACACAGGCCTTTCGATAGCCCGTTTTTAGCTGCAAAGGGACCAACGAGCAACGTGAGGAAGGAGCTCTGACCCTGCCAGTGCCGTCAGGAACTTCAGGACCCATCCTTACGCCACTCTCTGCACGTTCTTTTTACAGGGGGCTGACCTGCTGGGAAGCAGCTCTGCCCAGAGGGACCTGGGGGTCCTGGTGGGCGACAAGGTGGCCATGAGCCAGCAGGGTGCCCTGGTGGCCAAGGGCGTCCTGGGGCGCATCAAGAGGAGCGTGGCCAGCAGGGCGAGGGAGGTTCTCCTCCCCCTCTGCTCTGCCCCAATGAGACCCCACCTGGAGCTCTGCGCCCAGTGCTGGGCTCCCCAGGTCAAGGAGGAGGAGGAGCTACTGGGGAGAGCCCAGAGGAGGGCAACCAAGCTGATGGGGGGCCTGGGGCATCTCCCCTAGGAGGAAAGGCTGAGGGAGCTGGGCTTGTTCAGCCTGGAGAAGAGCAGGCTGAGAGGGGATCTCATCACCACCTACAACTCTCTTCTCCCCGTGCGGCAGGGTCAGCAGCAGGAGCAGAAAAGGTATTGGAGCAAGCGAGGAATGCCAGGGAGATGGATGTGAAGTCGAGGGGGAGAACGAGTACCTGTGCGGTTCGATAGCTGATGGCTTGGGGGACGCATTTCCTAAAGAGGAACATGTAGAGTCAATGGCTGGGAAAAGTTAACTTCAGGAATCAATTTATTGACCTCAAATACAAGCTTATACAAATATCTTAAGGGCGGAAGTCATGAGGATGGAAGCAGTCTGTTTGCAGCGGTGCCCAGCGACAGGGCTAAGGGCAATGGGTGCAAACTGAAACATAAGAGGTTTCAGTTGAATATGAGGAAAAACTTCTTTACTCCAAGGGTGACAGAGCCCTGGCCCAGGCTGCCCAGGGGGGCTGTGGAGTCTCCTTCTCTGGAGATGTTCAAAGCCCGCCTGGACCAAGTCCTGTGTAGAATGCTCTAGGAGAGCCTGCTTGAGCAGGGGGGTGGGACCGGGCGATCTCCCGAGGTCCCTTCCAACCCTTGCCATTCTGTGTGATTTGAGGAGAGGTTGCAGGAAGAAAACCGCATGCACGTACCCAGCTGCCACGAGAAGAGACTCAAGCGAGGCTTTCTGAATCCTCATCTAAACAAAACCCCAGCCTGGTCGCAATGCACATACACAAAGGCAGGAGCGTTTCCAGCCCACGTGCACTCTCGTGTTTTCTCAAGCAACCACCGCTCCACCTACGCCCTCCAAGAGCGCAGGGCATTGACAGATCAAGAAAGCAGCGCTGGGATCCCTCCCAGCCCCTCTCACTGCCCAATCCTCCCCTAGCAAAAGAACCAAACCAAACCAGAACATCAACACCCAGCTAACAGCAAGCACTGTGCTTGCTACCGAAAAGCAGGGATAAAATCCACGGGGCACAGAGGTGCCCGGGGGAACCGTGGGCATGGGCACTGTCCAGCTGCAAGCAAACGCCTCTGGGGTCAGCAGAAGAACCCGCCGGCGACTTCAATACCACGGATCAGGTCACCCAAATACAGCAGAACTACCAAGTAGCTTGACCCTACAGGTATTTGAGAATCCCTAATTCAAAGGAAGCTTCTGAACAGAGGTGTTTAAGGTCAGATTTCGGGCAAGCCTTCAGCAGCATGTCTTAAACCTCAAAAAAAGGTTCTCCACCGCAAGAGGGAAGGAAGCCCGGGCAGGTGGGGAGGTTGCCCACCACCCCGTGCTATCTGCAAGAGGTAAGGATGGGGGGACAAGCCAGATTAATCAGCAGTAACTGGGGGGGAACTCAATCAGCTTAAATGTGGCAATCAAGGACGATACATGGAGTGCAGGGAGACAGATGGTTGTGCGCATTTATTTTTCTTTGATAAAAATGGTATGCAAATTACACAGCCATGGAGGCTCTTGGGAAATATCACCCTGCTGGTCCTTGGGGAGCTCCTTGGAGAGTCGTAACATTCAAACACACCAAAATGGGAGGGGGGGTGTTTTTTTTTTTTTTTTTTTACACTTTCAGCAATGAGCTTACTGAGCACAAGAGTCAACAAAGCCCCCCCCGAACGCCACTGCGCAAGAACTAAATTGCTTGGGGCAGAAACACACCTTTCGAACACGTTCTTCTGCACAGCACTTTCGAGTTCAAGAACAGCAAGCCCGATCCCTGAAGGCATCCAGGCTCCTTCACACCATCCCAAGAGTGTAAAGAGGCCATACTTCAACTGCAGTTTGAAGAAATCTCTACCAGGAGATCGGAGGCACCTGTGTGCAAGGGACACAGGCTCAGTTCATCCAATGGAACATTAAGACAAATGACATCAGAAATTTCAAGGTCATTTCTTTTTTTTTTTTTTTTTTTTTGATCCGTTCCCAATAAGCTGCTGGGAGAAATAACCAATCCCCAAACTTGGCTCAAGTTTTAAATATTTGCCTGAAAGAAGGGCTAGGGGAGGGAATCATGTACAGTTAAAATCAAGCTACTCAAAACACAATCATTCAGGTAAGTAACTAGAAGTATCGCCTCTACCATCTAGAGAGAGAGAAGAGTGTCTGAGACAGAGGGCATATTTAGGAAAAAATACACATCTGAAGTCTCTGTGGCCACGATGAGAACTGGAATCCACATACAAGCCAGTTAAAGAGCATTTCAACATGAAATCTTAACTTAGTAGGAAGGTCAGGAGTTAAGCTGTATCTTTTTGTTTTAAATACATGGACAGCTGTCAGATATGAAAATGATGGCGGGCTTTCCTGAAAGATCCCCCTGTGCATGTGTATGGATGCATGTGCTGATGTCTGTGGGGCAGCATGACAAGAGTTTAGGAAGGCTGGGAGCCCAGCAGTCTCTCAATAGCTGCATTGATGTCTCCACCAGTGGCAATAAGCGCCTGGAGGTTGGCCTCACGATTAATGAAGCCCATGGCGTTCAGCTGCTCCAGCTGCTGTTGGAATCGCACTTCAGGACTCTGCGCCTACAGAGGGAAAGGACAAAGACCTTAGAGTCGGACAGCAGAGATCAACATCCAACACAGGCAGGGCTGAGCAGGGACCCTGAGCTCAGCTTTAGGCGTACTGAAATACTCCAGGCTCGTTTAGTGGTGTTACCCACCGCCCCGCACTGCCCGGGCCTTCGGCACAGCAGCCACACTGCACACAGTCCAAGTTCTGTACCTACGGTGACAGCAGCGCTGGGAGGAGGATCCCTGGCACTCTTTAGCTTCAAACCTGCACAAAGGGTTACTACACCCCAAGGAACGAGCCAGCCCGCGACGCCAAACTTAGCACAAAGCACCACAGGCAAGAGAAACCTGTTGGGGACCACATCCCTAGAGTGGGGTGGGATCGGGACAACCTCTAGCTCGCCCTGGAGATGTCCCTCCCCAGAAGAGTATCAGCGTGCAGCTGGGCATTACATACTTGAGAGCTTCCTCCGGCCAGCAGCTGGATCATCTGCTGCATGAGCTGCTGTTGGGGGTTACCACCCCCAGCTGGAGAGGCACTGGCCGGCGTCGAAGCGGAGGGAACGGGGTTCTCCGGGATTGTGCTTCCTCCTGTGGAGGACGGGGGCATTCGAGGCATGCCGAAGGAGCCGAGGCTGCAGAGGAAGGCAGGGCACGCTCAGAGGCAAGCTGGCATTTCTGGGTGTCCCCCGAGAGCCGGGCGGCAGGGTAACCAGCAGGCTCTGCCAGGCTGGCCCTCGCTGAGGCCCGTACTATAGGACAGCTTTGTAAATTAAACCGGCTGCGTTTGTATCCTGGTCACACACGGAGTAAGCAATCCTAACAGAGGTGCAGGCCTGAAAGGAACGGCAGAGACCGAACGTGACCGGCGCTGCCACGGAGCAGAAGGCCTGAGGGCTGCTGTCTGCCCCAAGGTGCCCACCCAACCTCGTGGCTGTGCATCTCGCGCTGTTCTCCAGAGATAAAAATGCTTGAGTTCAGCCGATAATGAACACGGCAAACAAAAGATGGGGGGAGGGACCAAGTGGTTTCCAAACCTTTTCTCCAAAAAGAAAGGGTCAAGGACTTCCAGCGTGAAGAACAAACAAGCAGAAAGCACTAATTAGCTGGAGCCCACAGAGGCCTGCAGGCACACACACGCAGAAGTCCCCACGACAGAGTGCCCTAAGCAGATCTCTCCTCGATGAATCAACAGTCAGTCTGCCTGCTGGTATCAAGCATGTCAGCTCTGCCTGCAGAAACCCACTCTAAAGCACTTATTACCTTGGCACTAGTCCTGGGGCCTCCGTTTGCAGCGTCTGGAGTCCCTGCTGGATCTGGAGGAGCGCCTGCATGGCGCGGGGGTTGGTGAGAATGGAGAGGGAGTCTGGGTTCTGCATCTGGGAACAAAGGCAAAAAGACACAGCGGTACCAAACAGCGAGAGCTTCCGCAGCCAGAGATCCACCAGCTTTAAATCTGAACAACAATCGGAGCTGCGCCTCTCGCCCCTGCAGCCAGCGCGAACCTGCGAGCCTGGTTCCTCCTTCGAGTCTCCAGACTGCAGGGCTCATCTACAGAGATACTCACAGAGTTTAGGTCAAATTTCCTACATGAACTAGGCGAATCAGCTTAGAACTGGGGGCACATGCCTTCGGAATGAATGTGATTTTA